AACATTAGCTTGCTTTTATTCAAGTTGTTATAAAGTTGTTAAATCTTTTATAAACAGTAAGTAGTCCTTGGCTTGCCCTTGGGTGACCTGACAAGATTCCCATGTTAACAACTAATCAGCTGCTGCTGATTAGCTACAACCTGCAGCAGAGAAATTAGTGTTGGAAATGGGATGCTAAACAGAATTGGACAAACGACTTTCTGTTAAGGTGCTGGGGTGGGGGTGTCACTCAGCAGGAAGCCTTTAGTTCCATTGTTGGAACAGCACCCGGTTCCATCCCAGAAGCAAATAAAGTAAGGGCTGGTGGTGGGTGTCAGTAACTTCAGCCCTGGATAGGTACAAGCAGGGGGATCAGAACTTTAAGATCATCTTAGTTACAAATGAGTTGGAGGCCCAGTCTGGCCTATAGCTATGTCTCAACCCCTTAAAATAAACAACACAAAACAACTTGCTTTCTGAAGTCAGGAGTGCTTTCTGCCTTGTTTTCAGATTTTTGCCAAGATTAAAATTCTTAACATTTCTCCTAATTGCCCATTAACAAGGTCAAGGGCAAACACATACAAGATTGTCATTTTTCCAGTTACAAAGCCCATATTATGTTGAGAGAATTTTGATGGAGTAGTTGTTTGACATGGGACTTCCTGTTTTTAGGTTTTCCTTTTCACTGTCCTTCCTTACCCTAGCTTTCCCGAAGGAACTTTCAGTGGTTCCACTGATGGGCTGCATGTTGCTGGGACCTTGATCTGCAGGGTCTTCTTTCTGTGTCCTGGGTCTCCTTGCAGTCACTTTTGCTCTTCTAGCATCTGTCCCTGCAGCCATTTTCTGCTAAGCTCTGCTTCCCACACCTGCTGAGCCCAGCTTTGGGTCTCAGATGCATTGTTCTGCCAGCCATTTCCTCCTCAAAGGAGGCCTTGGGGAGAGGGAGGCCTTTCATCTGTGCACCTTCATTTAGCCTCACAGGTCCATCAAATCCTCTAGCATCTGGGAGTCACTGCCCCTCCTTTTCCTCCTCTCAAGTCTCAAGTCACTGTGACCAGAAAGTCACCCTGAGCTTCTGGGCCTTGTGACCAAAATCCTTCCACACTTGAAATTTTTCTGGCTGATACACTCTAGGTGAGCATTGCATTTGTAGAGTCTGGGCAACTGTTTATTCTTATGACACTCAAGATTTCAGTGAAAATTAATAGCCTCCTGGTGGAGTATTTCTGGGGAAGTCGGCTTTTCCTTCTGTTGCTTTGCAGGTTTTTGTTGTTTGGTTTTTAAAGTAGCTTCCTGCTGGTCTCTCAAACCTAACTGTTGTGACTGAAGTTTGCAGATAAAAACCTTTACACTATTTTCTTTGTGATGTAAGCAAGCAGACTATCACTGTTTGGAATGTTGGAACCTGCAACACAAAGGATTTGTAATTTTCAAGCTAGGATTCTCTCAGTATGGAATCTAAAACTGAAAACTAATTACATATATTGCTGAGTTTTGAAAGATTTGTTTTTCAGAGTTTCTGCCTTTAGCTATCTTTTGTTCAGAGATTTTTGTCACCAGTGGGAAGAGGAGATGCCCACTTAACCTACAACCCTACACAGATATCAAAAGGAGCCATAGGCCATATGCTTCTGATAAAATAAGCCAGGCACCCCATGTTACCAATTATTTTAATAGATTAAAAAGTGAATTAGAATTAAAGATAATTTTAACATCAAAAAATATTTCTCTCCACTGTAAGGTTTGAAAATTCTAGCCGAGTGATGGTAGCACATGCCTAGAATCTATGACAGCCAGGGCTACACAGAGAAACCCTATCTTGAAAAACCTTTAAAAAAAAAAAAAAAAAAAAAAAAGGCAAGTTCTAATCTTCTAATCTGTGTACAGTGAACTTCAAACATTCTCATTCAATTCTCCAGATTCTCTGCATGCAGGGATGTCAAACCTCGCTGGTTTCTCCCACTTGAAGTTCTCTCTGCCCTTTTGATTGGGATGGCTATTCACGAACACTTTCTGTGCCTGTGGGGTCGCCCTGTGTCTTAGGCTTTGGCATGTTCTTTTTGGTTTTTTTGTTTCTTTGTTTGTTTTTCAAGACAGGGTTTCTCTGTAGCTTTGGATCCTGTCCTGGAACTCTCTCTGTACATCAGGCTGGCCTCAAACTCACAGAGATACGTCCACTTCTGCCTCCTGAGTACTAGGATTGAAGGCGTGAGCAACCACTTGGAATTCACTCTGGAGGCCAGGCTGGCCTAGAACTCACAGAGATCCACCTGCCTCTGCCTCCCAAGTGCTGGGAATAAAGGCTTGCAGCACCAATGCCCGGAACTTTGGCATGTTCTACCACAGGGCTCTTGGTACAGGCACTATTCTAGAAATGCAGACGCCTTTAGAGACTGCCCTACTGGGTACTGCCTACCCTGTGCTGCTCAGGGAACCCGCCCCCTGGTTTAGAGAAATGTGTGAGTCACAATGCCTGCAATTGTGCCTTTCACAGGGCCAAGCCACTGCCGTTGATAATAAATGACGGAATTGTTTATCTTGGAATTGTTTTTTATGGGCAGATGCCATGAAAGATTCAAAAGCTGTCTGTAAAGAAAGAATACCCCTATTGTTTATTCAATGCCTGCTTTTCTATTTAACATGAGGGTATCTTGTGAAATTTGCTTGCATATCAAAGACCTAGTAAACTTTAGGCAGTTTTCTCCTGAGATGTTTCAAATAGGCCATTTAACTACAACTCATTTTCAGATGTCCTGTGTGTGTGTGTGTGTGTGTGTGTGTGTGTGTGTGTGTGTGTGTGTGTGTGTGTGTTTCTATTTCTGTGGCTGCAAGAGGGAAAGACAAAGGCAATACTGAAGTTTAGCATCAATGAGTTCTAAAATCTTAAATCAATGTACCAGCTTGTCTGCCTTCTGGTTGGCTCACTGTGTGATGACAGGTGCTGAGAATCCCAGTAGAATCAGACAAAGGAAGGCAGCAAGTATTACGTGTGGAACTCTGGGAGGGACTGGCAGAGGAGATAAATGTGGTGGTTGATAGAAGATCACAGATGGCAAAAGAAAGTAGAACTACCTTGTTGGGGGGTGGAGCAGGGGAGATAGTGTTTGAAGGATTTCGATATGATCAGTCCTGGGCATTCTTGTGTTTATATTCTTAAGTAATGCTTGCTGTGCACAAAGCATGGGAACATCTCTAGGAAAACAGGAGAAGGAGGCTCTCGAAATACACTAGCCAGGAACTAAGTCTTTCTCAAACAGGAACTAAGTCCGGAACATGTGGCCATGCTAAAAAAATAAAAAAAGGCCACAAATGTGTGAAATTGTCAGACATTGCCATGTCCTGTGCTCACATGTTCTCAACACACAGAAAAACTTGGTTGGTCTAAGGTGACACAGTAAGAGCATCTACTGCTAAATGGAATGAGAGTGAAAGGGGACCCTGTTTCTTTGGTAGTAGTTATGGTATAGTTATATGGCATAAAGCCTGGGTTTAGCTCTTAAGGAAACCTTTTGCTCCTCCCTCTATTCCTCCTCTCTCTCTTGTCCTCTCTCCCCTTCCTCCTCCTCTATCCCCTCATCCATTATCCCCTTCCTCACTTCCTCCTCATTGTAGATTTACTTATTTTGTGTGTATAAATGTTCTTCCTGGATGTGTGTTTACCATGCATATGCTTGGCACCTGTGGATATCAGAAAAGGGCATCAAATATCCTGGCACTGGTATGAGGATGGTTGTGATCTGCCATGTGTGTGCTCTGAATCCAACCTGGGAGTGCTCTTAACTGCTGAACTATCTCCACAGCTCTCTGGATTGTTTGTTTTTATATTTATTTTTATTTTACATGTATGAATCTTTTGCCTGCATGTATGAATATGTACCACATACATACCTTGTGCCTTCAGAGATGAGAAGAGAAAGTTGAATCCCCTGGAACTGGAATTATAAGTGGTTGTGAACTGTCCAGTGTGGGTACTGGGAACAAAACCTGCTTCCTCTGTAGGAGCACCAAGTGCTTCTAACCACTGAGCCATCACTGCAATCTCCCAACTGGCTTCTTCATAACACTGTCCTTCTACTTCAAAGGAGCTGAAAGTTACTATTAAGATATTTTCCCAACAGTTGAAATGTGGAACAAAACCATGATTGAAACAATTTATAATACTTCAGTTTTCAATCAGAGGTGATTTGTTTTTATGTCTATGTTTTTTTGGTTTTGTGAGATACAGTCTTGGTGGCTACCTTGAAACTCACTAGGTAGCTAGGGGTCACTTTAAATCTGCCTCAGCCTCAAAAATGCTGGGGTTATAGCTTGGATATACCATGCCAAGCCAAGGACTGGATTTCTTTTTAAAGCTTTAGGGAATATACAATAACAGAACACTTTTTTTTATTTTTAACTGAGTTTATTGGCATTGAAATTATTATGAAGTAATGGAAAAATAGACTTCAATCTGAGAATTCTTATGTTCGGAAACAAAGTTCATTTTAAATTTTATTGTTTTATTATGTTTTAAGATGTGCAATGTACTGTTAAGAGATCTACATACAGTGAAGTGGTTACCATAATGAAAAAAAAATAACATTTGTCATTTCACACAATTACCCATTTTTCTTCCTATGATAAAACTACTTACTTAGCAAGATCCTGAGTACAGGGCTGGGTACTGATCAGTGCCAGAGCATTTACTTGCCTTGAATATGTGAGGCCCAGGGTTTGGTCCCCAGCCCCACAAGAAAGAATGGGAAGGAGGAGGTGGAGAGGGAGCAGGATGATTCTGAGACCACTTCCTACTGACTGTGATATGCATGTTGTGCTCTATGTCTTTGCTTCTCTATCCTCCGTAGTTGCTGCTCTGTATCTTGTTTTAATGCAATACCAGATTCAGTGTGAGTGATATATAGGGTGTGAGCACACCTGTGTGTGTGTGTGTGTGTGTGTGTGTGTGTGTGTGTGTATGTGTGTGCTGGGAGCTGGAGATTCTTAAGTGCTGATGCTGAATGAGAAAATCCTTCTTTTGTTTTCTAGGTGCTGGTGAATCTGGGAAAAGTACAATTGTGAAGCAAATGAAGTGAGTAGCTGGAGACAGGGCAGTATGTCTTCCTGGCTCTGAGTGACGGCTATAAAGGAAGTGTGCTTCTTTTCCTCTCCTCTCTTTAGAATCATCCATGAGGCTGGTTACTCAGAAGAAGAGTGTAAACAGTACAAGGCAGTGGTCTACAGTAACACCATCCAGTCCATCATCGCCATCATCAGGGCCATGGGGAGGTTGAAGATAGACTTTGGAGACTCTGCTCGGGCGGTAAGTAAGTCAATGAGTTTGCTGGAGCAGGTCTGAGGAGTATCTCATGGGATAGTCCTGTAGTTATGTAACTGAGGCCAGACAGCTACTGGGAACGCTTGACATACAAAGTGCAAAGGACAGGCATGAGTTGGGAGCCTTGGAAGTAAGTACTTTTCACCTGCTGCTGTTTCTACTGACTTATCTGGACTGTTAAGAATGACCGAAGTTTCTATATAACAGTGTATTAAAGTCTTAGGAACTTTTTGTCAATCCTACAAAATGCCTGTACAAACCCACTCAAGTGGGGACAACTTGATTTGGGCTCACAGTGTCATAGTCCATGGTTGGCTGTTTCCATTGCTGAGGTCTTGAGACAAGGCTAAAACAACATGGCAGGGAGGGTGTTGCAGCAGTGGGTCACACCATGGTAGGTAGAGAGAGAGAGACAGGGAGGGGCCAAGGACAAAATATTCCCTTTGAAGACATTCCCAGTGACCTGATTCCACCAGCCAGGCCCCTATTCTAATTGCCTGGTCACCTCTGGATTTTTCAGCATTTTAATTCACTATGATGCTATGGCCTACCACCCACTCCCATCCAGACATCTCTCAATAGGCCATTAGCTGGGGACCAAACATTTATCATGTGGACATTTGCAGCCCTTTTATACCCAGACCATAAGATTTAGATCCTCTCTACCCCTATGCTCATCTGCTATTACCATAATAAAATACCAGAGATAATTAGCTTAAAAAGACAAAAGGTTTATTTTGCTCACCAGATTGGATATTTCAGTCTACTACTTGGGAAGCTGAGGCAAGAGGCCTGCTGCAATGAGAGCAATGTGGACTACACCTTGAGTACTAGGTCAGCCAGTGCTACACAGCAAGGAAACAAAACAAACACATCTCAGCACTGAAATGATCTAATGATTTGTTCTTGGGCCTAGACTAAAACAACAACAACTGGACCCTGAGTAATGCAATTGGTATCCATTTGCTTATCTTTGGAACAGGAAAATTACTGGCTATGTAAAGACATGAACCAGCGTTTCAGAGCTCAATGGGACTTCAACAGGCAGGCCAGGGCCTTGTGGAGAAGCTCAAAGACAGGAAATTACATGGCAGGTCGGGCACAGGTTTGAGTGCAGCTGTGGAAGGCAGGAAGTTGCATGGTGGGACTACCAGGGGCTTGGAGTGCAGCAGGCTGAGTGTTGGTCAAGGCTCCATACTGGACTCCCGCCTTTCCCCATAGCATGCTGTCAGTTTGGTTGAAAACAGCCCAGTGCTTTCCACAAGGGCCTTTCTTCTCCTCCTTTCTCTCCATTTGATGCTTGATGTGTTTATTTCAAGGTTGCTGTTTGTTTTTTGTCCGTGTGTCATTGAAAGGAAATCCTGCTGTTTTTTTTTTTTTTCACTGTGGATGAACCTCAACAATATTAGGAAATATGAAAAAGTACTGTCTGATTTCATGGATATGTGAAATCAAAAACAAATGTAAAATACAAGTATCAAGAGAAAAGAAAACAACTCTTAGCAGGGGTTTAGGGTATAGTGGAAGGAAATAAAGGTGTGTAGCTGGAAGTCTGCAAAGGAACAGTTATGTAAGATGAAATCTAGAGAGCAAAGTTACAGTTTGGGGACTGTGGTCAAGATGATTCTAAATAATGTGTTTATCATTTATTCATTCAATGCAATCAGGGTACCTGGTAGAGGAAAAAATCGTAAATAATGGATACATTACAGAGTGACTAAATAGTAGATTGAGACAAAATATTCTAGATTAAATCAAATCATAACTCAGGGAAGAAAATTTAGAAGAATGTTACAAATTATTAAAAATCACTTTGAAATGTTCTTGGAAATAGCAGCAGCCCCATTTTTTAAAATCTGTTTAAAAGATCAGCACAAATGGAATCCCCGATGAGATTAAGGAGAAAAATAAACAGAAATCATACATTATACCGATTCCAATTATGGCAATTAAAAATTAGCAAATTCATTTATGTAAGTCAACTGTAGTGCCTCGTGCCTCTTGCCCCAGCACTTGGGAGCAGTAAGTTGAGCAGGAGGACTGGGATGAGTTTGAGCTCAGGAATCTAGTCGGATACATAGTAAACTCGAGGCCAACCTGGGCTACCAAGTGAAGCCTTTTCTCTGAAAACCAAAGCAAACCAAACACTCACAGTATTGTGAAGCAGATCCCACTGTGGCTTCAAGGAGAAATGCGTCAGAGCCTGTGCAGAGATGATAGAGGACAATGCAGGCAGCTTTATGAGAAGCCATTTGATTTTCATGTTTTTCTCTGAGGGAATTCTTATTTTAAAACCTTTTTTATAAGATCATTTGGCTTAGCCTTAAATGCCCTGGTTTACAGTTAACTGCTCTTCGGTCACTTTGGAATCTGTGTGCCCATCCACTTTGCTCAGCTCCGTCAATGCAGCCAGCCGTTGTCCCTTGCTACTTTCAGTCTATTATCTCTGATGCTCTCAACCTTTCTGTTACCGCTTCACAGAGAGCATGTGTTCTCCCGTGTCTGTTCCATTCTGTCTGTTTGTCCTGTATTTCAGGGTGTCTTGCATCTACATAGAATTTAAATTGCTGGAAGCCCCTTGAAATTACTATTTGGAATATAAAGATAAATTAAGTAGAGCCTGCGATGAGGAAGGCACACTTGAGCCAAGTTTTGTAACCAGAGTAAGAGGTTTATAGGCAAAACTGAAGAAAAGGCAGTCTACAACCAAGGACTAGCATATTCAAAGGCACTTTGAAAATTTTCTTTTCAGAAGTAGCAATGCCTTTGAAAGTTGTAAGATGAAGACCATGTGAAGGCAGAGTGAAAATTTTGGTAGCAAGCCTTTGTCATTGTCTATTTTCTCAGAGTCATACTGACTTACATATTACCAGCATTCTAATTTTGAACAGCTTACAAATGGGGAACATTATCAGTCTCACCTTTTGGTTTTTCTCTGGCATTTATTAAATATGAGAATTTGGCTTATAAAATTTTGTAAGTTTGTGTTTCCCTCATGGGTTCCTCTGAATATTCTCATATTTGTTAAACCTTTTTCCAATGGTTTTCTTTGAATATTAGAGATATTCACTCTTTGTCTATTGCAACTTCTTACAGAAGTTTTTGTTTGTTCCCTTGGGGTTTTTTGTTTTGTTTTGTTTTATGCAATTAATTCTAACATTTCTGTCTTGGTTTGATATAAAGATAATATTCCCAATTACTGTAATTTACTATTGTTCTTGTTTAACCAGGGTTTCATGTATACTAGAATAGAATCAAACCCATTGTAGATCGAAGAATGATCTTGAACTTTGTGTGTGTGTGTGTGTGTGTGTGTGAGAGAGAGAGAGAGAGAGAGAGAGAGAGAGAGAGAGAGAGAGAGAGAGAGAGAGTCTATGTTTCTGTGCATGTGTGGAAGGCAAAGGTCCACATCCTCTTTTGTCTTCCTCAATTGCTTTCCACTTTATTTTTGGGGACAGGGACTCCCACTGAAGCTGGAGTTCCTTAATTCAGCTTGGTTGGGTAGCCAGGGACTTGCAGGCATGCTCCTACCTCAGTCTTCCCAAAACTGGGATTAGAAATGCACACTGCCATGCCTGGCTTCTTACATGGTTGAGGGAGACCTAAGCTAAGTCCCTATGCTTGTGTACAGGCACTTAATGACTAGCCCATATTCTCAACCAGAAAATTACAAGTTTCTATAATAAGATGGTGAAGCTTTACTCTAATTTTAATCAATGAAAAATCAGGAGTCCAATATTGGGGTAAGAATGTGGATGATCAGAGAACTGGGAGCAGCTGCTAGTTGCTTCCCACCTGTCTCCTTCCTCTGTCCAAAAAGGGGCCGAGATCCTGTCTTCACCCCACCTTATCACATCCCATCTCCATGAGTGCCCAGATTAAAGATGTGTCACCATTGCCTAACTTCTAGGGTTAACTAGTGGCTAGCTCCTCCCTCTGATCATCAGGCAAACTTTGTCAGAACACAAACAAAATATCACACAACACTACGGTTTTTCTCTAATATATGTTTCTATCCACCTATTTGTAGGTGTTTCCTATTAAATAGGATGTGAATATGCCATATAATGAATGTCTCCTGCCTTACTGCCGTTTATCCAGTCAGATGTCATTCCCCCAATGCCTTGTAAATACTACCTTTAACACTCAATGGACTGTGTGTATAGACACTTTTTTCCCTCCCCTGATGTAGTTTTGTTTTTTTCTCAGACCAGTCACCAATTATGTCATTCAGTGCCTCTCCTCCTGGTTAATTATGTTGGAACAAGAAAAAAATAAAAACATCTACCTCACAGGATTTTAAGAAAGATAAAATCAATGCAGATTGGAACACACCTGGGAAGTAACAGATCTCATTTCACTGTTGATTTTATTATCTATAACAGTACTGTTATTGTTGACAGACTCACAGGGCGTTAGTTTATATTGCTTCGCAGATGAATTGGCACCTACTAGGGTTTGGTCACACTATCTCAGTCTCTTACCAAATATCCAGACCAGTAAGCATTTCTGTTCCAAATGGACTTGAGAGTTAATTTCCTCTAATTCTAATGAAACTAAACAAACAGTAAAAAGCCTGCTTGTTTTTGTTGGGATTATATTTTTAATAAAAAATCATTAAAATATAATTACATAATTTCCCCTACCCTCTTGCCCTCCCTTTATCGTTCATTCAGTCCTCCTCTTTTCAAACCATTGTCTCCTAAGAGGGCTCTCTCTCCCTATGGAAGACTTTCTCACCCTCCCTCTCTCAGCAGGAGTTTATTGCTTGGAGCTCTTCATCTAGGGGTGGGGCCCTGTGAGATTTACCCCATATACATTGTGATTATATCTTTTTATTATTTTTTTATTTTTATAATTGTAATCAGACCAATTTTATATTAGAAAAAAGATTGTTCTACATATCAATCTCAGTTCCCTCTCCCTCCCCTCCTTCCCTGCCCCCCACCGACCCCCATCCCAGCTCCTTTCTGCTCCCCAGGGAG